TTGGTAATACTGAGTGTTAATTTGAATGCTTTTTGCATATGTTTGTTTGATTTATCCTTCACTAACCCCTGCAAGATGGGGGTACCAGTAACGCTTTATATGGCATCCCAGAGAAATTAAGACTAGGTTACCCAGAGGAAGACAATACGGCTGAGCCATTAACCGTGTTTACAAGCAAGCATGCCTTGTGGTCTGTTCCTGGTTAGCCACGGTTAGTGATGTAAACCTGGGAATTTGACTTTGACTGGAATACAAAAAAAACACCATAATGCCTTTTTACAAGTTCAGCTGACCGATGGCTTCCTTCCATACTCTTCCCAGAAGTCCAAGGGACATGAAGCTTAGCTAACTAGATTAGGGATGACTCAGAAAACTTGACCGGTCAAGTGCAGCCTACAGAGATGCTCATTGTTTTGCTTGTCACTAAACAAACTTGTGGCTCCGTGTGTGATGTGCAAACCTCCTCCTCTCTGATTTGCAGCTCCAAATTGTTTAGCAGACGTTACAGGATCGCTTCTCAGAAATGCAGCTGGCTCCCGTTTGCTCAATTTATCACCATTTGTTTTGTTTTTTTCCTCCCTCCTGAAAATCTGAGCCATTCATCTTAGCGAGCTTTTTGTGCAGTGGGGAAATTGTCAGCATGTAACATCAGAGAACCGGCGCAGGACTTCACAAACCGTACCTGTGTTTAGGATCACCCAAAATTAACTGGATTCTATAGTCAGAAGGGACTTAGAGCATGGAACCTCAGAGTTGGAAGGGACCTTGGAGGTCTTCTAGTCTAACCCCTTGCTCAAGCAGCAGACCCTATACCATTTCAGACAAATGCTTGCCCAATTTCTTCTTAAAAACCTCCAGTAATGGAGCAGCCACAACTTCAGGAGGTGAGCTCTTTTACCGGTTAATTGTTCTTACTGTTGGGAAATTTCTCCTTAGTTCTACTTTTGCCTTCACTGAGACTGTGAGAGTTGAGTCTCCATGGGATGATTGTCCAGTAATTTGTATGTGTGTGCCTTCGACTTCATGTTGACTCCTGGAAACCATTTTTTCTTCAGAAAATGGAAACTAGGTTTCTGCTATGGTTTGCCACTGCCTCCTTCCTAGGGGTTAAGAGAGAAAGGCTGGCCCAAGGTCGCCCAGATAGCTTCCTGCCTAAAGCCAGGAGTAGATCTCAAAATCCTGCGTTTGTCGGGCAGTGTCTTCATCGCTACCTCATCTGGCTTTTAGTCCTGTGAAAAACCCAGTTGTCTCTCTGGGACTTTGGTTCCACTCTACAACTGTTCCTACTGTCCAGAAATATAGTATAACAAAACTCACCCTTGGTCTTCCTTGTACCCTAAACCAGTTGCTGAGAATAATTACTGCACTCTTTGATTATCTCGCATGGAGCTTCCTTTGAGGCATTTGAACACAAGTTGTTTTTTTTCTTCTCCTTTTTGCTAAATTTACCCTGCTTCAACAGTTTAGTTGCTATTCCCAAACCACACACTTTGAAAAAGAAAAAAAAAGGCAATTTGCAGGGATAGAGGACAGAACCAGCTGAAATTAAAGTATTTCTGTGTAAATCTTAACTACGACTTTGGTAATTATAGCAATTTTGGTAATTTTTAACCCAATTCCAAAAGCATTTTTTTTCTTTTCCAATTGTATTTTCGATACATGCAGTTTCCTAATTTGTTTTGTTCAGGTGTGACTGCATCCAGGAATATGTGTTTATTCTGTGTCTTCCAACTGTGACATTAAATGTTATATTTGCACCTTTTTTTTAGCCAATGGATAGTTCTTCTGTAGAAAATTTACAGAAGACCAGATATTTTTTCCTCGGGACAGGGTAGAGTGGAATAAAGATAAATTAATGCTAATTCTGCACGTCAATCATATTCAATATATTTATTGACCTAAATCTAGAAGATATAATACTGGTACTGGTACCCTGGAAGCAGCTGTTTGATTCCTGCTTCCTGGGAAAAATAAATTATCCAATTGCAGTGTGCCATTGAATCAGGAAGCTGGATAATG